TTAATGATTAAAAGTGAAAGCAAAAGTATCCCATCATACATCATTCCTAACATTTATATCTGCAAAGAGAATAAATAGTAAAAAGAGGGACAAACAAATATTTTTATTAAAATGTATAGCATATGCCTAGAGAACTCAGTCTTTTATTACACTAGGGTCATCCTTTCCAGGGAGCCTTTTCTGATCTTTCCTACCGGAGAGAACTGGCCATTTCTGTTCTTCTACCTGTACTTGCATAAACGATCGGTCAGCTCGGTAGTCTACGTGTACCTGGTGTATATGTCCTTAGTGTTTAGGCCATGTGGTTCCCCTTAGCTAAAACTTTCCCAAGGCTGAATTCCTTCAGGCAGGGCATGGTCTTCTCTGTCTCTGTGATACATGGAACAGTGCCTGCCACAAAGGAACTACTGTACCAAGTAAATATTTTAAGTGTGGAGTCAGAAAGAGGACTCCCCAGTAGTATGGCATACTCATCTTACTCAATGCTGCAAAAGTCCAGTACACCTAGTGCACTCTTATTCTATCCCTAGATCTTCTCCTTCTTTACAAGCCCCTTTTCTTTCATCTGCCAAATAACTGAAAAGTTGCCTACGACTTAGACAGCACAATATGGAACTCCAACTACCTCTGTCTCCTGAGAATTCCTAACCTAAAATGCTACCCATCCCACTTCCATTCTTCCATTCCTGACATAAAATTGTTTTGTTTTTGGGTTTTTTTTTTTTTTTTTTTTTCATTTCAGAAGAAGGGTTTGTTTTCACTTGAAAAGTGAGCAGTAACAATGTAAATACGTCACTCGTTGGAGAAATTTCAAGAATAATGATAAAGGGCAAAAAAATTTCCAAGGCTGCTAAATCAAAGCCATGCCAGGAACAACTTGTAAGCATGACTTTGGATCACACTGATCCTCTCTCTTCCAGCCTGGTCAAGTGTATTAAAGAAATCTGAAAGTATAAAACTTTGTTCATTGTTTATTTATCCACCTAACTCTTACCCTGACTGCTAACCCACAGTGCTGGAGTTAGAGCCATTTTGTACAAGTTCACTGTATTTGCTTTGTCCTGCAAGAGTGAAAAGGAAAAAAGTGGCCGCCTCATCAGAGCTGCCCAAAGGACTCTTAAATAAAACAAGGTTAAGAACCCTGTACTAACACAGGACTCTTAATTCCATCTCAGAGAAGTGTGACTCAATCTTATTACAACATCTCTCAGACATAAAAGAGCTTTCCCAGGTAACCTGTTAATATTGTTGCTCACCTTATCTTTTTTCAATTGGTAATATTTGGTTTTTCAGTACTGTTTTCGGTGGTGTATTTTTTCACCGCAGTGTTCCCAAGTCACATTAGAAATATTCCTAGTTCCTCACAACCCAGTGCCCTCTCTCTACATATGATCCACTGATAACTGGGTCAATGGTTTCATACCAGGAGCATGCTGGGAACATCCTGGGAAGATATCTGTTCTTAAGTACCATTTCAAAGTCTGCAAGTGAACCTTAACAGAAAGAAATATTCATGTAAGACTAAACAAGAAAGGAATAAAGATCACAAAACTTGAGACTTGAGAGGAAACTCAAAGGTAATTCTTTTCCTTTGCATTTATGATTAGAATTATTACTGCTTCTCCAACAAATGGTCATTTAATTATTATCCAAATGCCAAGCATTTACTACTGTTCCAGGTATTTTTCTCACATCTTAACTCCAGAAGTAGAAGATTTATTTTTATAATTAATCAATATCTTCCTTCTCATTAAATTGCTTTAGAAATCTGGATACTGCAATTCTCTCCTCTGTCTAGTTTTCTTTCAAAGAAGTTTTTGGTAGTTTTTGAGTCTTTTTCTTACCATTAAGAAGCAAATCATGTCATGCTTATCTTTGCTTATCTCCATGGTCCTGCATACTGCGCAGCCAGACCTGGCAATGACCCAGAGAGTTAATTAAAGAATGAGTGAACTGGGCTTGGTGGTGCATGCCTATCATTCCAGCACTTGGGAGGCTGAGGCAGGAGGATCACCAGGAGTTTGAGGCTAACCTGGGCCAGGCAGTGAGCTCAAGGTGAAGTGAAACTTTAAAGAATTAATAAAAGAAGGAGGAGGAGGTGGGAAAAGAGGAGGAGATGGAGGAAGAGAAGGCAGTGATGGCGGAGGGGGAATGATGAGCACTCACCTGTCAAACAGAGATTGCAGGAGGTGCCCAAGAATCTAAGTCCCAGAGTCCTCTGACACTGTCCAATGGGGCAGAGCAGAGATGCTGTGCTCCTAAGCATAGCACCGACCCACGTCTCCCATGGGTGATGTTGATCTGCGAGGTCCTGAGCTTCTGCATTTGCCCTGAGATCTGAGTTTAAAACCAACAAGGCTTGAGCATCTCCTGGCTTCCTGCATTCAGCCAGGTTTAAAGTCAATGCTCAGGAGACCCAGCAGAGCATCTAATGAGGCAGAGCTTCAGTTTTAAGAAAATAGGAGCAAGCATGAATTCAAGGAAATCTTCCCAATTAAATAGCCTCCTATTTTTAAAATAAAATTATGTGTTTCAAAAAGATATTATCTCTAGTTTGGCCCTCATGAGTTAGAATCCAGAGTGCCAGCAGACCACGGAAGGGAGGTTGAATTCCAGCTCTACACTCTTATTTGCCATGAGATTTTAAGCTATTTACTTAATTTGTGTGTGACCCAACTGGGATTGCTACAACTATAAAAAATTGGGCATAGTAGAGTATATTAACACCACTGATAAACAGGCTGAGTGTAGTGTGGATTACCTGAAGTAATTAGGTATAAGCTTTCCAGTTATGCATTGTCTTTGTTCGTGGCAGTCATATTTTCACAGCATGGCCTGACAGGTATAAATGTGCCTATGAAACAATACCCAAAAGACGTCTCGGGGACATTTTATAACCTTCCTCTCTATGGACATCCTAATGTGGGCCAACAACATCCTAACAGGCTAGTCTGATTTAGAAGGATGAGTGCTGGACTAATCAGCAGGAGACCTGGCTCCCAACCCTGTGTCTCAAATTACTCCTCCCATCCTTATTACCCTGTGGACTGTTCCCTGCTTCAGTGTCACCTGCCAGAGCCTTCATTTCAGGGTGAAGTTCAGTAAGTCACATGTTGATATAATGGTTCTTGTCATAATCTTAGGAAGGCTTCCTGACAAGTAAGTTTAATGACTCAAAATGTTTCCCTTCTCTCTTGAAGATTCTTTAAAAAGAGAAGTCTTAGGCTTGGAGTGGCCAGACTTCCTCTTCTTTCTCTTCCTTTTCTCTCCTTTTCTTTTCCTTCCTGACTTCTCCTCCTCCTTATTTTTCTTCCTTTCACTTCCTCCCCTCCTTTCTCTCTCTCTCTCTCTCTCTCTCTCTCTCTCTCTCTCTCTCTCTCTCTTTCTCTCTCTCTCTCTCTCTCTCTGTCTCTTTTTCTCTCTCATTTCTTCCTGTGTTGCTATTATAATAAAGGATATCCATTACAACACATGGACCCTTGGTTATTATTGTTCTTCTGCCCTGATTCAATCCACAGGCTTCCTAATTTCTATTCTGCCTATAGGATCAAACATTATATTCTTTACATTCAAACATACATGTCAGAAATCAGAACCACGTGATGCAAAACAGAAACTACAGAAAAAGTAAAGCGAGGAAAGTATCTAGAGCCTGCTTCAGTCTAGAAAGGTCTCTGTGTATGGCGGGTCTCCAAGTCCGGTCTTTCTGTGGCCTGAAGCTTCTCCCTGTGGATTGGGCAGAATGGGCCAAAGTCTCAGAGTCCTGCTATGGTGTTAGCAGACGCAAGAGGAGAAAAGGCATGTTCTTGATCACAGGACAGTGCTCTCTGAGACCCTACAGCAGCAGCATCCTTGTCTGTGCCCTCCTTGCTTGTTCAAGCAAATGTGTCAGCCCAAAGAAACGTGATTTTCCAGTGTCCTCTGCCTTGGTTATATCAAAAGTCTTTATCCTTGTGGGGTGTAATAAAGTCAGATCGGAAATTTGACTGCCTTCTTTTAATTGTCACCATAACTGTGAACTGACACTTTCTTCATATAAAATACATTTGTTCCTTTATTACATTAATCTTCTCACTTCCAATTTTGTCTTCATTCTTTTCAAAGTCTGATTCTGAGCTTTTTCTTAAATTAGTAATGGACAACTTACTCATGGGATCTTGGTTCTATTAGGCACCCAAAAATTTGAGAAATTGCATCTCTTCTTCAAATATTATGATATCAAGGAAATCACTACTTGAGAAGCACAAATAATGTTACAGACTGCAAACATAATCCAGTCTATTTATTTAGTAGTATGGAAAAGTGCCCTTTAAGTCTTTGTGAATTTTATGTCATGCTGGAAAGAATGTGAAAAGAGAGACAATACTAAAAATTTAATTCATAAATTATTTAATAGTATTCTTGTTTTGCCAAATAAAATCTTCCAAACCTTGGTGTTTCAGAATAGCGAATGCTGCTGTTTACACAGGCTGCTATTATTTTAAAACATCTTGGAAAAAAAGGTTGATTCCCAAAATCAAAATCAAATACCTCTATTTCATGAGGTTATATCTTACACAGACTGCAACTACCTAAAGGCTAGACAGTGGACTTCTATTAATGAGGCATGCATTTAAGGTAGGAGGTTTAACAGCCTCCGTAAAGAGGGCTGCAGCAATGATGACAGGATATATGTGACAAGTGTTCTTCTGAATTTCAGACATGGTTATGATTTCCTTTATACTTAATGGATTCCAGAATGGAATAAATAATAAAGGATTAATGCTGCATAGTTAAGGCGAATTAAAGGCAATGCATTGGAGATCTCTATGGAATTGACACTGGACCTGATTATCACCAGCAGCTCATAAAAGTAAAGTATAATCAAGGGTTTGGCAGGGAACCTGGAAATGAGCTGTGCAAGTGGACCAGCAGAGATTAAAATTGTATGCAGTTCTGCGGGGCATGCACGGTCCCTCAGGCAGGCTGACTCCTGGCAGGCCTCAGCCATCTGTACTCACCATTCTTGCAAAGCAGTACAGCCAGGAAGTCTTGAGAAGATGAATTGAGGAAGAGCAAAAGGCTGGGTGCCTGAGCCGTCACAAAGCTGAGTGCTATGTTCTCCTTGGACGGAGCCATATCTGTGTAAATAGCTGAAGAGGAGAGGCTAGTGTTCTTGGTCACAGGGTAGGGCTCTTGAAACATGTAAGTAACAGATGTGCTGGCCTCAAACACAGCAGAAATCTCTGCAACAGAGAAAGGAGGAAATACATCAATGTATTACTCAGTTATTCCAGGCTACCACAACCTTTTTTGTATTGTTTCCTACATGCTAAACCCTGTGCAAGCAATTGCCCGTGATCCGTGTAATATGCCCACAATCATAAATGTGAAGTGGTAACACGAATTATTCTTACTGACAAATGAGAAACTTAAGGCTTCCAAATTTTGAACAAGTTTGCACACTAAAAAAAAAAAAAAAAAAAAAAAAGCTCAGATTTTCCCTCTGACATTCATATCTAGTTCCAAATATACTTGCAGGAGGACTACTATATGCCAGGCTAATTTTTTTGAAAGCTAAATAAATGTCCCACTGCCACCAGTATAATACATAGAAAACTTTTTCTGGGATGATCTTACTATCAAAACAGGTAGCAAGACACTTGTGGTTAGCATTTATCTACCATTTCAGGACATGACTGATCACGAAGTTGCTTTCAATGGAACATGGAGAAGGGGCACAGATGTCTGTAATGTTGGGCACAATATGAGGACCAGTGGAAACAGTAGACAAGGAATTAGTAACAACACTGAAGAACGAAAGACTCAATTTTCATATGTGCAAGCATGACTACTCAGTTCCAAAAGTTAGCAGAGTGGGCAAAGTATTTCTACAGCACAGTGCAGTGGGTGGCATTCTGTCAGCACCATGGAGTAGGCTGGTGTTGACAAACAGGTGAAAATCAGTTAGTGGAAAGTTGCAGATCACCATATCCTCTGCAGAATGCTCTTGCTGTGTTATCATTTTGGTCCTGTGGATACAGCACAGCAAGAATTAGCACTTGCCTATGTCTCTTGATTCCATACAGATCACGTGGCCCAAACCATGTCATGAAAGCTATGAGGCCTGTTCTCCCCTCCAGGGAGTGAGATTACTGACATCTATCTCCTCAGTGTCTCTAAGGGCTGTGAATGAGATACGTGTAAAGCACGTAGGAGTACTGCTTCGCAATCTGAACTCACAGGCTCTCTGTGTTAGAAGAGCATTTAACTAAACCTCTCCCGGCTATCTTCACACAGCATATCAGCTTGATAGCACATTCACCCTATGCTGCAATATTTTTGCAGCTTGGATCAAGGCTACTCTCGAGTTCACTTTAAATTTTATCTCTTTGCTATATTAGGCTGTGAAGAAAGGTTTCTTTGTAAAGCAACACACATCAGATGTGGCAGCAAACCTCTGCTATAAAATAGCACAGTAGGTAGGATTCCATACGGACGTGATGAATTTGCCTTCTGTGGAATGACATGTGGTATGTTCTTAATTCCTTGTGAAACCCTGATTGAATATGAGGCACCTAGAACATAATCAAATTTGGCTTTGCTTCCTAATTCTGTTGCAAATGTGTCTCACCTTGTAAAAATTCTGTAATGGTCTATAATAGAGCCAAAAAATTAATGTTGCATATTTCTGCATATTGCCTAGCAGATTGGGACTACTAGTGCCTCTTTACTAAAGGTTCAGAGAAAATATCTTGCATTTATTATGCAAGTTACAGTATTGGTATTGCTGATTATAAAATATGAAGCAGTTATTTGTGACAGTGAAGATTTTAGTTATTCATCAGCTTTACTCAAGTATGTTCCTTGAATAATTTTCCTCAGGGCCATATGGACTACATTTTGAGCTACTATGTCCAACTTGACCAAATAAAGGGCTTTCATTTGACATTTGTGTATGTACTAAAAATAAATGTAATTTTGAGCATTCTATCATAAATAGCACATCAGATATAGGTATTCACTACTTTTGTGTTTTTTTAACAAAATTTTAAAAATAAAAGCATTTGTAATTATATATTTTAAACTATATTTCTGTCATTGTTCTTCCCTTAGTCCCAGTTCTAATTATTTTGTATGTATTTTAATATGAACCCAAGTTCAGCAACACATCTAGACTCTGCAATTCTTTCACCTTCTTATGATTTGCAATCTGAAATTAAGCTTCTCATAAAATAAGTTGAGTTCCCTGAATTTCCAGAACTTTTTCCTATAAGTGTCTCTTTCCATTTTCCTTACTTCTGCAGCCTGCATGCCTTTTCCTAAGTCATATCACTTCTGTAAAATTAATTGCTCTGTGTGGAAATACTCTTTTTTCTGTACTGGGAATTGAACTCATGACCTTGCACTTACCCCTTAGCTAAATCCCCAGCTCTCTTTGTGGGAATACTAATTATGGTGCAATGCAAGTCACTGCTTTTAACAACCATCCTCTTGTGTAATATGAGTGACACACAGTAATAAACTTTCTTGCTTTTCTTTTGTTAATCTCTCATTACAAGAGTTTTGTTTCAGCTATGTATTTGTGAAGCTTGAGAATACCTAGAAATTATAAAGGTGACATTAATTTATAAAAACTCAACCAACCTAAAATAAAACAATTGGAAATGTGAAAAATTAGTGCATATTTCATAACATTAAACAATTTTATTATTATATTTTCCTTATAATATTCCTACATACGTGTGTTTTTGTGAATCCTTACTTTTTAGCAATACATAGCATATTGTTCATCTATGATATGATAGTATATCAAAATTTGCATTGAAATATAAGAGGAGAGAGGAAGGGTTGAATATCTTTATGAAACAAGAATTGTCATGAGTTGGTAGGTGTTAAAGCTAGATATTGGGTATGTATGGAGCTTCTGAAACTTTTCTCAGTACTGCATCACGTCTTCATTTTCTACAATAAAAAATAAAAAAAAAAGGTACAACCCACTAGGAATGTGAATACTTAAGAACTTTAAATAGATGTGTTTATCATTCTTGTAAATGCAACCTGTGATGAGCTAAGCTTCCTAGACAGTAGTAAGAAATAGCTTTCAATGAGACCATACACATTAGGAGTTAGCATCAGTGCCAGATGGGGTGCTCACTGAATGTGAAGTGGAGCCTTCTGTGAGAGATTCCGGTATACTCCTCCTAAAGATGAGAAAATCAAGGGGGCTTGAAGTTGAACTGCACAACAATGACCTGCAGGGTGGAATGTAGACGGACCGCAGTCTGAATCAGGCCAGTCTGGTGGCTGACTCTCACCCTGACTCCGGGGGCCACAGTGCCCCAGTGACAGAGTGAAGTAGGTGAAGGTGACTGCACTGAATGCAACATATTACAATGAGAAGGTGCTTACACATATTCATGATTTATGCAGGAATGCTATGCAATGAAATAGAGAATTCACGATATAAAATATAATGGCCAGCATTATTTCTATTACATTAATTACAAAAAAAGTGAGATAAGAGAAAGTCATTTTTAATGATTTTCTGTGAGTAAAGTGAAATTTAACATATGTAGATTTCTAAGTATGTTTTAAAATATATGATCTAACATTTTAATTAAATATTTAAATGACAGTCACACCTAGATTATTCAATTAATGGTGATGGAGGTGTTAAAGACCACACTGCACCAATGAGTGATGCTGGGGCAAGGAGATTTCCATTCACAAAAGAATCAAGTTGTACCTCTACCTGCCTCACAAACCAAAGAAAACACACAAAGCACTCACAATGGATGAAAGTGCTACATGTACGAGCTAACAGTTCAAAGTCCTCAGAAGAAGTCACAAATATAAATTTTCATATCCTTGGATTAGGCAATGATTTCTCAGCTAAAACAGTAAACCATGAAGCAACTGCACTTCAACAGAATTGAAGAGTTGTACTTTAAAATGTAGTACAAAGAAAAGAAAACACACAAAATAAAGAAAATACTTAAAAATAAAATATATAATAAGAGATTTATATTTAGAAGCTACAAAAATCTCCTAAAATTGAATGGTAAAAGGATAAGAAAAAAACTGCAAAATATTTAAATACACATTTCTCCAATGAAGACATCCAAATGGACAAAAGAGATATGAAAAGATGCTTGATGTAATTAGTATTAGTTAAGTGCAAGTCAAAGCCACAATATGATACCACTTTCTGTCCAGGGAGATGTATATTAAGAAAAACTTACACAAAAATAAGTGTAGGCAAGGAAGTGGGAAATGGAACTCTCATCAGCTTCCAGTGAGAGTGTAAAATCAAGCAGCCTTTTTGCAAAAAAGTTTAACAGGTCATCAAAAATTAAGACATATGTTACTTTTAGGTATACACTCAAAAGAAAAGACATTCATTTACACAAAGTTCTGTATATAAGTATTAATAGAAGCATCATTGGTAACAGCCAAAGAAATGTAATCATTTCCATGTCCACCAAGTGATAAGTGGATAAGCAAAAGTTGTACTTTCACACTATGAAATACTCTTTGGCAATAAAAGTAAATAAGATATTGAAATGTGCTACAACATAGGTAAACCTTAACAAAATTGTGCTTAGCACAAGAAAGCAGATACAAAGAGGCTACAATCATGTGGTTTCATTTAAAGGTCCTCGATAGGCAACTCCATAGAAACAGGTACAACAGTGACTTCCAGGATCTCACAGGAGACGTAAATGGTAAGTGGCTGCTAATGGGCCTAGAGTTTTGTGAGAGGATGATGAAATTACTCTATTAGGTAGTAGTAATAACGGGCAAGTTTGTGAAAATACTAAGAAGTCATTGGATCATGCACCTTGAAAGAATGAGCTTTACAATAACTAACCATGAAAAGAGAAGCGAAAAGCTATGTATCTATAAACAGACTTCTGAAAAGAATGAATCTAGAGTAAAAAATTAGAATAGGAAACCAAAGAGACATTTTAAAGTCCTCCAAATCTGACACATTGGAACAAGTAACTAAACATAAGTTTCACAAAGTCTTCCTATGTTAAATCTCAATATTAATGCCTCTCTATTAGTTTAGGGATAAGAAGTATATATTGCAGTTAATAACTAATTTGTGTTTACTTTTTGTGCCATTATAAGAACCAGACCAGGGACCAAAGGTGGCTCTCATCCTGGCACTGGTAGTAGACACATACCCATAATTTCATCCAAGACATTTCCAGTATTAGCAGTATTTTCCTGAAGCACTGACCACTACAGACAGCAGTACAGCAGCATGGAACAGCACCCCAGTACAGAGCAGTTGTTTACTAAACCATCTTGTAGCTGCAGGCTGCCCATTTCAGTTCCACACTATTTCTTTCAGAGACAACTGGTAGGGCCAAGACATTTGATTGAAAATCCTGTCTTACCTACAGTATGATTACTGAACATAGGAAATCACTGCCTTCCATTATAATGGAAAGGGGGAAAGTTTGGAAATAGTGAAATACAAATGTACAGAAAAAACTAAGCATGAATATGTGTATTTAACTTACAGAACAAAATGAAACTGTGGGAGAGTATACAGCGAATGTTCTAACATACTCAAGCAAAAAATAGCATGGATGGGAGAGAATTTCTCTGGAAAAAAGGATCCTACAAAAATAGGGGTAAATTTAGCACAATGTGACCCATGAGGTGCTTCAATAATATCCCTGGAGAAATGTAGAAAAATCTATCGTTCACATTTCCCCAAAAGAAAGAAGACTTGGAGATAGATGGAATAAGTACTTTACTAATATTAGATCTCATTGTGTTTATTCTGCGTTTGCTTTTTATAGAGCATGAGACCACTCTAAGGTTCTCAAACTCTGTAGTGGAAGCTATTCAGACACCCAGAAATGTTCCCCAATGTGAAACAAGGTAGTAATGATAAAACTGCTGCGACTGAACTCGTTTTATTTCAGAGTCCCATGCATGATTCAACACAGTGTTGACCACAAAATTTTGTAACATTAATATTTTTCTCAAGACCATAAAACACTGCCTAACAGTAAGGAATAACTGGAGAGAAGGCCAGAAGGAAAAAGTGAAGAGCTTGAAGTACAGGGTCTTTCCAGAAAGCACATAAATTTTTCTTTTAAAGAATCCTCTTTTGGGGGGGGGGGTTCTAAAGAAAGATGGACTACATAAAGCACTGTTGGGTAAAACTGCTTGGAAAATATAAAGATTGACAAGGACTATTTATAATTGGTTCCACTGTATCTAAACAGTGTGTTAGAGTGATGAAGACATTTTATTTCTAATAGTTTAAAGGCTGCTCTTGAAATATTGTTTACATTATTTGTTCATAAAACTATTTTTCCATCAACAAAATAAACTCCAATACACTACACAGGTTGATGGTAGACTATTTTGATTTTACGACTGAAAAATACTGAATGTTATTCTGAATGATGCAATTTCCTGGTTCCAGAGCTATTGTTATGTCTACAGTACACTCAAAAGAGGAGTCTCCTTCCTGTTCTACCCATCACGATTACCTTTGCCATCATCTTGAGATTGGAAAGGGGTATCCAAGAGCCCCAGGGAAGGAATTTTGACAATTATAGTCCAATTCCAGAAACATGATGACATGAGCTCCCAAGGAGTATTTTTAAAGCCTAAGAGTATTGCTCAAAATACATAAGGAAAATATTTCACTAGATACATGATATTCTTTTCCTAATGGACCCATACTCCTGTAAAAATATTTAGAGACTTCAGTTATCTCGGGTTCCTTCAGGGCTGGAGCCTATGATTCTAGGATTACATTTGAAGACTGAGGAATTTGTATCTGAGGAAATATTAGCACCATTAACAATCCAGTGAACACAAGAGAAATGAGATCTCCCCTCCTCTAGTCCCCACCTGGCTCCTTAGCCTCAGACGTGTGTCATTTGATCACTACTCACCCATTTCAGCCACAATGCAAGGAGATACACACTGGCACAGTGAGTACCGTACTTGTAATTATGTCAAATTATGCAGTTGTTAGACAGAGGGAGACCTAGCAAGGCATGTGGAGAGGTCAAGGGACATGGGAGCAGGGCCTGAACATAGCTGACAAGTGTTAAGACACCGCGCCTCGGGTTACACACATGCCTAGCTACCTTTTTGGCAAAAGGGCCCTTCATATGGAGAATGTGTGCAGTCACACGCGTAGCCACTGTGCTTCTCCACACACTTGCCCCCGTTGTGACAGTTGCTGCCGTAGCTGCTGCAGTGCCCTGGGCAGCCCGGCCTGACTCCAGATGTGACTTTCGCTCGCTCCTCCAGGTCCACTTTTTGCCCATTCAAGAGTAGGGAACGGATACATCCGAGGAAGCCTTTCTGTCTTGATGATGTTCCTCCTAAGAGTGAAAAATAAAAGGAAGAAATGTAAGGTGAGCTGAGCCTCCATACGTGTAGGACTAATGTCTATATGAGTGATGTTATCTATTGGTACGTGGTCATGCTGTGCTGAAGTTTTCTCTATAAGTTCCAGGGAAAATTAAGAATTTAAAGGATTAACCAAAAAAAGAAAAGGTTGTCTACTAAGCTAAATAATCAGTGTCTCACAGCAGCAGGAGTACAAGAAAGAGAGAGAGAGACAGAGAGACACAGAGAGAGAGAGAGAGAGTGAGAGAGAGAGTCAAAGACCACAAGTAAATAGTTCTTGAGGAATTCTCTACAGAGATATTTTTAAAGAGAAAAAAAAACACAGAAAAGAAAAGCAAAAAGCAAAACAAACAAGTAGCAACAACAAAGCTGAAAAAACAAAAATACAGGCTCTCAAAACAAGATGATAGAAATTTAACAATGGTGTTATATTGCATATTATTATTTCAAAAGAGTTGCTTAGACTACCAGATATAGAAATGCAAAATTGATCTAATCATAAGTATTAACTGTTCTTCTCCAAGAATTAATACAATTAACAGTTTAGTCATCTCAGCAATATTATGTATATATACACAAATTTATACATTTTCCTTTTCCTTTCCTTCTTTCCTCCTTTCCCTTAACCCAGTTACTTTTCTCCTTTGAGCAGTTTCTTACTCTTACCCAATATTTATTATAGATTTTGGACCTTATTTTCTCCTTCAATTTCTTATACTAGGGACCCGATACAGTATTTAGACATGTGAGTTTGATTTATTTCACTTATGAATATGGTCTCAAGTTGCATCAATTTACCTATAAAAGCCTCAATGTGATCCTTCTTTATAGCTGAGTAGTTCTCCATTGTATAAAAATTCCAAATACTGCTTATCCATTCCTCAGTTGATGGGCATTTGGGATGTTTAAAAATTTGGTTATTATAAGTTGTGCTTCGATAAATATGGATACGTATACCACTGTGGTATGAGGTTTTCAATTTCTGTCTAATCCTAGTTTTTTGAGGAATTTCCACACTGATTTCCACGTGGCTGCACCAAACTAGACTCCCACCAACATTGGAAGAGTTCCTTTTCCCCCAAAGCCACAGCAGCATCTGTTGTTGGTTGATTTCTTGATCTTGGACATTCTATCTGCAGTGAGGGGAATCTCAGTGTTGTTTTAGTTTTCATTTATCTAATGACAAATGAGGCTGAACATTTCTTCATATATTTATTTGTCATTTGTATTTCTTCATCTGAGAAATTTGAATTTTGAGGTCCTGATCTTTTAAAATTCTTTATATGTTTTAGATAGAAGTCCATTGTCTGAGGGATGATTGGCTAAGACAGTTTCTCAATTTGTGCGTGTGTGTGTGTGTGTGTGTGTGTGTGTGTGTGTTTTTTTTTTTACTCTGTTGGCAATTTCTTTTAACATGCACAAACTTTTTTTTTTTTTTTTTTTTTTTTTTGGTCTTTTTCCTTTTTATCGGTACCCGGGATCGAACTCACGACTACCTGCTTGCAAGGCAGGTGCTTATGCCGCTGAGCTAAATCTCCAGCCCCGCACAAACTTTTTAATAGAATGAGATCCCAGTTATTGATTCTGGGAAGTATTTCCTGCACAGTTTGAATTTTGTTCATGAATTCCTTCCTACCCCTGTGTCTTCAAGATTTCTACCTATTTGTCCTCCAGTAGATTTACTGTTTCTGTTTTAATATTTAGATCTTTGATTTATTTTGACTTTAGTTTATTGCATAGTGATAGACATGGGTCTAGTTTTATAAGCCAGTTTTTTCAGCACAACTTATTAAGAAGATTTTCTTCCAGTGAACATGGTTTGTCCCTTTGTTAAAGATGAGGTGGCTGAGTGTGTTTGTAGTTGTAATTATATCTTCTAATCGGTTCCACTGATCTTCAGATCTGTTTATAGTCCAGTACTATATTGATTTTATTACAGTAACTTTGTAGTATAACTTCAAGTCAGAGATTGTGATGCCTCCTGCCTTGCCTTTGTTGCCCAGAATTACCTTTGCTATTCGAGGACCCTTCTGGTTCCAGATAAATTTTAGGAACAATTTCTCTAGATTTGTGAGGTATGCTAATGCTATTTTGATTGGAATTACATTAATCCTGTGTGGCAATTTTGGGAGAATGGTCATTTTCACAATGTTTATTCTTTCTATCCATGAACAAAGAATATCTTTCCAAGTTCAACAATCCTCTTTGATTTATTTTTTCAAAATAATGTAATTTTCGATGTATAGATCTTTTACTTGCTTTGTTAAACTGATCTCCAAATGTTTCCCTTTTTTGGGGATGCTATTGAGAAAGGTATGGTTTCCCTTATTTGTCTCTTAGTGAGCTTGTTGTTTGTATACAGGGATGTTATTGAGTTTTGAGTAATGACTTTATAACCAACTACCTTACTGAATTTGATGATTACATCTAGAAATCTTTCAATGGAGTGTTGGAGGTCTTCTATGTAGAATATCATGCCATCTGCAAATAATGATAATTTAACTTGTTCCTTTCCTATCCTACTCCTTTTATTTCTGTCTTGTGTAATTGCTGTGGCTAATGTTTCCAGCACTATAATGAATAGAAGTAGTGATAATGGACACCCTTCTTTTTGTTCCTGATTTTAGGTTAAAAGTTTTCAGTTTTTGTCCATTTAGTAAGATGTTGGCTGTTGGTTTATCATGTATGGCTTTTATCAGACTGAGGTAAAGATCACTTATTCTGATTTTCCATAGGGTTTTTATCTTGAACAAGTATTCGTTTTTGGCAAAAGCTCTTCCTGCATCTATTAAGATAATCATGTGATTCTTGTCTTTAGCAGTATTGATATGGTGTAATACATTCATTGGTTTGTATATGTTGAAACCACCCCTGCATTCCTGGGATGAATCCATTTTGTCATAGTGTATGATCTTCTTGATGATTTGCTGCATTGTTTGCCTGCATTTAATTGAGGATTTTTGCTTCTATTTTCATTAGGGAGATTGGCCTGTAATTCTGTTTTTTGGTTGAGTCTTTCTCTGCTTTTGATATTATGGTAATATTTGCTTCCAGGAATGAGTTAGGGAGACTTGCTTCCCTCTTAAGTTCATCAAGAGTTTGAGGAATGCTGGCATTAAGTCTTCCCTAATTTTTTTCCAGAATTCAGCAGTGAATCCATCTGAACCTGGGCTTTTTTTGTTGGTAAGGTTCTAATTACATTTTCAATTTCATTAACTGAAATTGGCTTTTTCAGCAGTTTTACATCTTTTTGGTCCAGCTTTGTTAACTCATGTTTCTAAGAATCTGTCGACTTCATCAATATTATCTATGAGAATAAAGGTTTTTGAAGTAGGTATTAATCATCTTCTGTATTTCCACAGAGTCTGTAGTGATTTCAACCTTTTCATTTTTTATTGCATGAATTTGAGAGTTTTCTTTCCTCTTTTTGATAAGGTCGGCTAGGAGTTTATCAATTTTTATTTATTCAAAGAGCCAACTCTTTATTAATTCTTCATATTATTTTTTTTTACTTCCAATTGTATTGCTCTGACATTTATATATTTTCATTCCTTTTTTGGGGGGAGTTGGACTTGACTTTCTCTTCTTTTTCTAGAAGCTTGACATGCAGCATTAGGTTATTTGTGTTCTTTCCATTTTCCTGATGTGAGAATTCACTGTGGTAAATTTCCTCCTGAGGCCCACTTTCAGCATGTTTCCCAGGTTCTAATAAGTTGTGTTTTCAATTTTATTTGATTGTAGCTATTGCTAAATTTCTTCTTTAATTTCTTTTTTGATCCATTGGTTGTTTAGGAGAGTGTTATTTAATTTCCAAATGTTTTGGGGGTTCTTGTGGTTTCTTCTATCATTAATTTCCAATTTTATTGTGCTATGGTCAGATAATACACGTGGGATTATTTCAATTCTTTTCATTTACTTAAGCATGTTATGTGGGCTAGTACATGGTCTATTTTAGAGAGTGATCCATGTGCAGCTGAGAAGAATGTGTATTCTGATGTCACTGAGTGGAATACTTGGTACATATCTACTAGGCCCATTTGTTCGAAAGTTGGATTCAGTTCTGTTATTTCTTTGTTGTTTTTGTTTGGCTTATCTGTCTCTTTGTGACAATGGAGTGTTAACATCCCCCATTATAATTGTATTATTGCTTGTTTGATTTTTCATTTCTATGAACATTTATCTTACAGAGTTGGGCACTGCTATATTTGGTGCATATATATTTATGATTGTATTTTCTTCCTCTTGAAGTTTTCCCCTAACAAGTATGTACTGACCTTCTTTATCTCTTTTGATCATCCTTGAAGTTCACATTGTCTGCAGATGGACTAGCCATTTCCACTTTTTTGTGGGTTCCTGTGGCATGGAGTATTGTTTTCCATCCTCTGACTTTTAGTCTATGAATTTACTTTTGAGTTAAACATATTTCTTATATACAGCATATGGTTGGATTTTGTTTGTTTAATTCACTTTGTCAGCTTATTTATTTTTATTGGTAAGTTGACGCCATTTTTATTGATGAATGTAGCACATAAAAACCAATATGTCTTTGTCATGTTATCTTTCTGTTGTTGGTTCTCCACTTTTCCCCTCTGTTTAAATGTTTCCTCTTTCGTGGTTTCCTTCTGCTGTTCTTAGAATTGTAGTATCTTTCAGTACTCTTTATAGTGCTGATTTGGGGTCATGAATTTCTTCAGTTGTTCTTTATCATGTTATTTCTCTATCCATTTTGAAAGCTAGTTTTTCTGGGTACATCAGTCTGAGTTGGAAGCTGTTTTCTTTCAGGACTTCAGCCACTTAACTGCAAGATCTTCTTGACTTGATGGTTTGTGTTGAGAAGTCTGCTGTGATTCTGATAGTGTTTCCTTCATAGGAAATCTGTTTCTTTTCTCTGACAGCTTTTGGTATTCTGTTCTGGTGCAGAATTTCTGAGATCTTAATTATTGTATATTTGAGTGAAGATTTATTTTGGGAA